ATATATATATACTAACAAGTTCATTTAATATTTTTGATATTTAATATTTAACACTTAATACTCTGTTCGTTTCTAAAAACATTAATCATTAAAGTCTAGGATCCAAGTTGCAAAACAAACATATGGTTAGGTATCATTTATCTCATTCATTTGAATCCAACTAGGTAGATATCGATTATCAATTATACTAGTATATAATTCATAGATTTATGTGATCACTACTAACAAAATTTAATTAGACATGTTTGATCCCATATATGTCTCGAAACTCTCTTGCTTAGGTATCCTGTATCATAAAATATTTTCGATCAAATCATCCAATTTTAACAACTTGTGTAATCAACCTATAACTTGGTTATAGAAATCGTGAAACACCCCGACCATCAAAATATAATACTAAGTAGTTAGGTATCATTTATCCCAATAGTGCATACAAGAGATGTGCGAATATTTTTCAAAATGGATTGTATAGATTTAAGGTTTTAAAGGGTCTTTGATGTTTTCATAATTCTAGTTAAAAAAAACATATTATATCATGGTTATCGCATGCATCCAATAAGCCACAATGTACTTAAAAAAATTTAATTTATGTAAAATCACATTTTGACAATGTTTTTTTTTATAAAATCTGATTTTATAAAAATGATGCGTTCAAATTTTAAAATTAATAACTAGTATTAAATTTTACCGACTGAGCGCTTTAGAGCATTTATAAACCTTTCAATAAAACTTCCTTTTATAAAATAAGGTTTGGAGTTTGATAAGTTTATAAATCTCTATTTTAAACATATATAATTTTAATCCCGAAATTTTACCAGTTACTAGTTTAATAAATAAAGCTTGTTTTATTGTAAAACTATTTTTACCATCTTATGTTAAAAGATAAATTTCATTAAAACCAAACTCCTTTGTGATGTTATTTATGTTCAAATATTATTTATCATTTGAAAACTAACTTATCAACAATAACATAATAATAACAAAATAAATATAAAAGAATACAAGCATGCAAAAACATATGTGCATAAATCAACCATCTAGTGACATTTTGTGAGCGGTCACAAAATGCCAATCCATTCCTAAAGGGACATTTAAAGGGACAAAAAAACTTCTAGTAATGTTGTTGTTGAAACTCTCATTTGAGAAAATATCCATTACTTGCAAAAAAGTTGAAAAACTTATTGAAGAGTGATATTTCAGCAACATGTAACACATCAGGAAAGTGTTGCCTTAGGGCCTACACTATAAGGACTCTGATGAAGCACTTGGCAACAACAACACTTTGCAGAAAAGGTTTCTTTTGCTCATGCAATAAAAAAGTTGATAAAATCAGCTCATTTGATCTTCAAAAATAGCTCCATCTTCATTTTTTGTTACATTTTTGTACAAAATAAATTATTTCTAAAACTAATCTATTACTTACAAAAATAAACAAACAAAACTAACTATTTAATTATTACATACCATATGAATAAATAAATAATTACAACCATGTTAAACAAATCAACACAAACAATAATACAAGGGTCCAATGCTAGTTTATCCACATAATATATATATATATATATATATATATATATATATATATATAGGTTCAAGTGTTTAAAGTAACTATTGTGTTATTGTATGCATAATTGTGGGCCAATCAAAATTAAATAAAAAATTAAATAATTAAATAAATAAATAAGGTTAATTTAGTCATTTGTTTAATAACTTCCAAAAATAAACCCGTCACCATCTTTCCCTCACCCCTTGTCGCATACATTAACCCGAACCCTAGATTGGATGCTCCAGCCGCAACTTCTTCAACCGTCGCCGCCCAGCCGAGATTGACCGCCTCAACTGCTGCCGATGACGCCCTGAATAGCCGAGCATTCTTTTGCGACGCTACTGCCGATGAATCTGGAAGCCTGGAGCTGAATCTTGCACGATGTCGTCGCCTGTGACTGCAAGGATCGATGAGTTCGCGGTCACCGCCGCTTCTTCCTTCCCCGGTGATGCTGGGAGCAATCGGGACGACCGTCGGGGCTAACGAATGGACCTGGTTCGCAGCTGCGTGGTCATGAGCGATCAGTAATCCTCGAGTAAGAGCATCTGATATCTCTCTATCTCATCTCCTTCGCTCTTCTAGTGGATTGATGTCACGAACGACGCTGTCCATAAATATTGACGATGCCTCTTTTTTGACTGATGAAGAACCCACCAGAAGTCTTCACAAAGGTATCGTTCTTAGTTGCTTTAAATTTTATCACATTCTGATTAATTAGGGCTATACTTCAACCCAAACCGATTGTTAGTATAGTTAAATTAGGTGTTTTTATCGTTCTCTCTATTGTAAGAACTATATTTTTTCCAAGACTACTTTGTGATTCATGTTCAATATTGTATCAGAATACCTAATGTGAACTGGTTGTCTAATGTGATTGATTTACTGTAAATCAATGAAGTTTAATCGATAGGTTTAGATGAGTTTTTTGGGTTTGATTGGTTGAACACAAATCATGGTTGTTTTGGTTGCTTATTTGACAGATGAATGCTTCAACTGAATTGAAAGTTGTTTTCATGCACACCAAGTGCTCGCTAAAATGCTTCAACTGAATGGTATTTCTTCGTTCATAGCATTCTATCAGAAAAGAATGTTTTTTATGGTAATCATGAACATATTCTGTTAGAATCCCCCGAATTAATATAATTATTGGTAAATGAATTCCAATTCTATCAGAATGGAATCACGAATTCCAATTATGTTGGAATGGAGTGTGGATATTTTCTCACTAATTTATTCATTGTATTTTCTACAGAAGTTGATGCTTGAAGAACGGACCACGAAATTTGAACGACGCCTCTTAGCAACATTATTCATTTAGAATGTATTAGTGTTTTTGTTAGATTTTGATTTTTTTTTTTCAGATTTGAAATTTTTATTAGTTTTATTCTTTAAAAATAAATGTAATTCTTAGCAATTGTTACATGTATTCTATAAGAATTAATGTAATTTTTGTTTTAATTCTTCAATTGATGGTTCGAGAATTTTGTATTCTACAAGAAATTTTGTTATTTTTGAACATACTCAAACATATTCTGTCAGAATGTCCGAACTAAAAACCTTATAATTTGTAAGATCGGATTTTTAAAATTAATAGAATCTTTGATCCCTTAAAATATGCAAATTTCCTTTATTAAATCTATGTTAACTGACTAAAATACCCTTCTAGTTAAATTAGATGATATTTTTCAATTATATTTAATTAAATAATATGTATTAATCACTTTCTTAAAATAAGTAAAATGATTGGCTCACATTTATACATACAATAACACAATAATTACTTTGAATAGAATATATATATATATATATATATATATATATATATATATATATATATATATATATATATATATATATGGTTATGTTCAAATGTAAATGATAATTATTATCTATATGTGTAACAAAATCTGACCAATAGATGAAAATAATTAATAATTATGATCTTAGGGTACGTGTTATTAAGATGGACTAGCGTGTACCATATAATAACACTAAAAACATTTAAAAGGGTATTATAGACATTTCATGTTTATTTAATTATAGAATGTGCGTTAATTATGGGGATGAAGTTTTGACCATTTTTTAATCAGTGTTAATTACAATAATCTTAATAGATTTAAAATTACAGGAAAAATCAAAACCTATTAATTTCTAAAACCATTCTTAACAAAATACGTTTTACTCTTGTAAGGATATACGGTTTTTTTTATAGAATACATTTCATTCATGACAACATGTGTAAAATTAAAAAATTTGTATTAACATTTAACAAAATATACATATTGTACTAACATTTTAGCAAAATTAAAAAAAAATATATTGTAAGAATGAAAATAAATTACAATTGAAAAATCTACTATTTTGATGCGAATTACCATCAAATACAAGTACAAAACTAAAATACAAGTACAAAACTGAAATTTTTGGAATTTTTGGGATATTTTCCCTATCATTTCTCCACTAGTAAAACTTACATTCTCATGAGAGTTATTTCTTTAAAGAATAACAATATTTTTGAAAGAATACCTGAAGATGTTATCCATCCTTGGATATTTCTAAAATCTTGAATGAATTACATTAAAAACAATGACGAGTCTACTGGAAATCTAGCAATTCTCAAAAGAATATGTTGATTATTAAAAGAATACACTTCCATTTCTCAAATCCTTTTTGCAAAAAAAAGTGTTGTATTTCTTGAAAGAATGTCTCTTTTCTTCTAAATGTTGCCAAGATAGGTATCAATTCAGAAAAAGAACATCCATTTCAACAACCCCTTTTCCCTTTTTCTATTTATTAGCAAATACAAAGCTTATTTCATCCATGGTTGTTGGGAAATTTCTTTAGCTTTTGCTAGATTCACCTATAAAATAATAAATCATAAATATTTTGTAAAAAAGATGGATTTAAAAAAAAAATGAAGCCATTTTTATATTTCATTGATGTAAGACACTTATATGATTTAATATTATGAATTATATAGAAATAATGTAACATAGTTTTTCTTTTGGTAAAGAAAAAAGTAGGCCATACGTTGCTTCTTACAAAAGTGAAGATCAAATACCAACATATTCTAATACACATACTGTGAATTTTGAAAACATCCGATAACTACTAATTTCCACTAAAACTAGAATGATTACATTTGAATCGATAATTTAATCAAAAAGCAACTGATTTAATAAATTTGAGTTTTCAATGAAGCACATAATAATTTATGATGAAAGAATGAAGAATTTAGAATAGAAAAACGAGCCAATATTTATTTATACATATAGATCCAAACAAAATGATACAACCAATAATATGTAACCAACTGATTACGTTCATAAGATAAAAAATGACCATATTAAAGTAACCGAACAAAAATTGGCCAAAATCTTAAATCATATAAACCAATTTTTAAGTAACAGAATCAGAATTGACGAAATCTTTAAAAGAATGTAACCAAAATCCACCAAATTTTTAAATAACATAACCAAGGGGAACGAGGTACATGTTGGAATCAAGGAAACAAGAAATCGCACTAGGGGATTGCATTGATTTCATCCCTTAGACTGGTAGGTGTGGGCAACGCCCACACCGGCATTATTGAGAAAAAGACAAAAAAACGGCGTTATGGAATGTGATGGTGGTAACGGGAAGCAACGCACATACGTATAACACCTAATAACGGGGAAGGAGGGCGGTGTTTGCGTGTTATAACGCCAAATAACGCCCCTTGGGGCGTTGCCCATACCCAAGAGACTTAACATAAAAATGAGAACCAAATTATTTGAATTCCGGTCACATAAGGCTTCAACAAATGCAAATGACTTTCTCTTGAAGACTTCGTTCCAAATGTTTCGATGTTCACAACTGAATCAACCGTCCTGTATAAGATGAGAAGAAAGAGAAAGAATGAGATAAAATTGGGATGATTAATCAGTTACCTTATTTAATGGAATAATTTAAAGTATAATTAATCGACTATTATGTTAATTTACCATATTACCTTTATCCAAGTTTTTAAAATGATTTGGCTAACATTGAGTTACACATTTATACAATACTTGTGCAATTACATATGATCATAGCTCTCTCTCTCTCTCTCTCTCTCTCTCTCTCTCTCTCTCTCTCTCTCTCTCTCTGTGTGTGTGTGTGTGTGTGTGTATATATATATATATATATATATATATATATACACTCAAAATTATATAAAATAATTCTTTGTTTTTCTAAAACAACTTTTGCGACAAAAAATGCATGTAAACTTTTGTCACTAAAAGTAACAATTATAAAATCGTTAAAGAAAATATTTATGGATTTTTCTTGCAAAGAGAAAACCATCCATATTTTCCAAAAACAAAAATTCATCAACTTAACACATAATCTAACTAATCTTGCAAAAATAGCTTTCATGCCAATTGTTGAGTTTTTATTCAAAAATAGTTTCAAAAACAAAAAGATGGCAACGAAAGACTTTGATTTTGAACAAAATAAAATCAGTTTTAATTAAACCAACAAATGATCATTTAGCAAGAACTTAGAAAGATTAATTATAACCAAAAAAGAAGAAAGTGAAACAACCTTTGAAGACTTTGGTTCCTTTGGCAATTAGGAAGTTGATGAAGATGACTTTCATCTCTAAATTAAGTTCTCTACAATGTATCCACCAAACAAGAGTTGAACCACCAAAATATGCTAGTAAACACTTGTATAAAGTTGTTCTTAAGCTTTAAGAGTTATAACAAATAAGTGGATAAAGAGAAGCAACTTTGAGCCCTCATTTCTAGCACCAAATGGAAGAAAGAAGAAGAAAGGGAGAGATTGCAAAATCTGAATTTTGCCACCAAATAATGGAGGTAATAGGTGGTAGAAAAGCCTCTTCTTTCATCTCTTATTCCCTCCCTTCATGCATATAAGTATGGCACAAAGTTTAGGCCATAAAGTGAAAGTCCAATCCGTTTCTTACAAGCATGAGATTAAACATTAAACAATGCAAAAGCTAACGCATACTTTGTCCTCTTATTTTCGGCCATTCCATGGAAGAGACAAAAAAGTAGATTGTCTTTTAACTTATTCAATTAGTTAGTTGGAATGTAACTATTTGGTTATTCTAAATGTCCAAAATGTTGTACACGCCATTAATAATTATACCATATATATATATATATATATATATATATATATATATATATATATATATATATATATATATATATAACTGATTTTGTTCTCTTTATTATTATTTCCTAAAAATAATAATTCCAAATATGTTGGTAAATATTATTTCCCAAAATACTCATGATTAGGTAAGGGTACGTAAAGAAGAAGCCATATAACAAAGGAAATGGAAAACTTAAAGGTATTACCTTGAATGTTTCCACTAGCCTAAGAAGAAAGAAACGAGTGTTGCCATCACAGTTACAAAAGGCCATTAGAAGAGGAATTGCCGAGCCTACATTATAGATTTAAAGAAATCAGGAGTTGGAGAGACCAGTAAGACATATATATATATATATATATATATATATATATATATATATATATATATATATATATATATATATATGATATAATTTTTACACGTTATAAGATTCCTGGATATTTGATAGTGGCATTTGTTGTTATGTGCTGGAAACAACAATAATTAAGGGAACCGATCGACGCGACTTGGACAACTATCAACTAAGAGTGTTGAGTCGTCTTATTTTAATTTTAAAATTAGTTTAGTTTCCCATTTTTGAAACATTTTTTTTGTTATGGGACCTATTTTGGATTTATATAATGAATAATTTTGTTCGATGATGTGCCTATCGAGTTTGTCTCTTATTATAATCTCTATGAAGGTAAAGCACATAATGTTTCATATATAAATACTCATGATAGTGAAAATGGTTTAAGCATGAATTGAATTGTACATGAATGTAACATTACCGTCTTTGTCACATGAACCGAAAACGCATGACAAAATTCAATCGATAGGAATTTTGGTATTAACTGACCCTTATTCGTTTGATATATGCAAATACGTTTTGTGTGGAAATATAGTTTAGTAATTTTATTTTTGGGAGGAAACACCAATGATTTACCAAGACTAATACATCCTTATATATGTAGCTCTTATAGAACAATGTCAAAAGATGATAAAATTGTATGAGGAGTTCATACCCTTGCTCCCCAAAGGCCATATCATTAGGGTTTATTAAGCACCTTAGTGGCCATTGTCTGGACAATCATCCAATATAATGATCACACCATAATAATTCATTATTTTGTTTCCTATACTCATGCATGTATGAAATGCATAATTAAAATTAGGGTAAATTACATGAATGGTCCCTGAGGTTTTGGGTAATTTGTGTCCTTCGTCCCTAACATTTTTTAACTCGAATAATCCTTGTGTTTTGGTTTTGTTTCAGGCTTGGTACCTAACCGAATCAAATTGACTATTTTATCCTTAAGGCATATTTTCTTATATTTAACTAAAAAAATCATATAATAAAATATATGGGTCTCACCTATCCCTTATATCTTCCACATCCAACCTAACCAATTTACCTTCAACCCCACCACTCTCTCATCATCGCCACCCTCCCTCTCATTCACCAGTCCCTCTCTCGATGGAAAATACCATCATAGGAAAATGACATCGTCAGAAAACATCGCTTCTCTGTCGTGCCATACATCTTGCTTGGCGCTCACCATCACCCGGCGTATCTCAGCATCACCCACCGTACCTCACCATCACCCAAACCAGACAAGGTAACATCACCGACTAACACCAACAAAACCACCACCCTTCTCTGTTCGTATGTATTCTATTTTGTCACCCTAAACAACCCCACCATCCATCTTGTCTTCCTGGCTTCCTTCCCCTTCCCCATATTCCTTTTCATCATTCACACCGACAACCATTATGTCTATAGGAGCATAATGTTTAGACCCATTACAACACTTATAGAAATATAAAACCCTAGAAATTAAATATGCAAAAACCAACGAAAAACTCGATTATGAATTCTAATTAGAAGCTTTCCGTTTCTTTCCTTATTTAGATAGAAAAAGAAACCTGCTATAGAAAACGAGTTTGTAGATGACGATGGTAAACTGATGCTCACTTTCATTACTAGAAAGCTAGTCACCACCGTGTTTCTCAAACCCGCCCCTCCCAGCGATGACGATTCGATTATAGTTAGGGGTCGATTTAAGGATTCAATTTCAAAAAGGGAGCCAACACCACTATCGCATGCTTCCTCTAAAATCTAATTAATTATATACATCCTTTTCTCCCTCTCTTTCCCACCGCCAACTGCTAACCATCCACCACCACCTTTCTAGTATGTGTCTCTCCACACCTCTTAGCGTCATCATCTCACCAAGAGAAGAAAACCTAAACGTAATCAATAGAGGATTTTCTAGGGTTTTATATCTTTTTACATATTGCATCACATAATCGATGGAGTTTCTATGGTGACCCTTCAAGCTCCAGCAACTCGTCTTCTATTGTGACCAGGGATAAAAGGTTGGGTGGGACCTACTTATAGTTTAATAATAATATAAATAATTATATAATAGATTTAATAATTAATAAAAGAAGTTAGTAAGGGTAAAATAGTTATTTTAGGTATGACAGGGACGAAACACCCAATAAAATAAAATTAAGGGAGAATTTCATATATACCCTTATTAAACATCTAAATATCGTATTTATCCGACTTAAACTCTAAATATCGTATTTTCCCTTCTTAATGTGTTAAAATATCGGATTTGCCCAAATCTATTTTTTAAACAATTTTTATTTTTAAGGAGACTTTTTATATATCAAAATCATCAAAAATAAAAAAAAAACTAACCAAATGGACTGTAATACCCTTGACTTCTAAATCACAACAATCCATTACCTGTGAGATTTGGAATCACGATCGATATCTTAAAAGAAATCCCTCCAACAAGTACAAACGTGATCAAAATAATGGCACCAAATAAGATCATATAAAAGAAATCAACAGTCTTTCCTCTAAAAGAATTATCTTATAGAACAAAGATGTTAATCATTACTTTATTCCAAGAAAATGAAAGATAAACACATTTTGTATTTTGTAAAACCTAATTTTTAGCTTCCATATGATAAGTATGGCTTGAAAAGTCAAAATTACGTGTATGAATGCTTACCCATCTTGCAAAAATAGAGGACATTGGGGATCAATCGGCAGATTTTAAGGCGAAATGATCTGCAAAATATTATAAATAATCACGTTTAATCACTATTTTAGTACCCTCACCTGAATATGATTATGCTTTTTGACACACAATAACCACTTTATAGTACTAGTCGAATAAATCTATAAAGAAAGTAAGAAGAAGTACATGAGATTCTTTACCTTATACGCCCAGAAAGCCGTGGAGATAACAAACTTGTTTAATTTTGGCAAAACAAATAACATGGATGAGAATCAATCCTTCACCAAAAGTAGAAATCAAAATTATAGTACAGCAACCAAACAGACATCAACAATATCCCTGAATTCTTCTGAATTCACCACAGCAACCAAACGAAAATTGAAGAATGAGAAAGGGAAAGAATGAGGATGATGGAATTACAAATCACCTACAGTTTTATACCTGATCGTGTTATGAGTTTCTGCGATTTTTGAAGTTGTACATAGTTGGAGTCACGAATTGAATAATCAATTAACAAATACAAAACATAAAATTACTTGATGATTATCCGGTTGCAGCAAAGAATTAGCAGAAGGCGCGAAAAAAAGAAGACGCAGGGTTAAGATATCGATCGTGGTTCCAAATCACAAGCAGGTAATGGATCTGATTTAGAAGTCAAGGGTATTATGCTCCATTTTATTATATTTTTATTTTTGAAGATTTTAATATATAAAAAACGATTTTAAAATAATAAAAATTGTTTAAAAAATAGATTTTGGCAAATTCGATATTTTAAAACATTAAGAAGGGCAAATGCGATATTTAAAGTTCAAGTAGGACAAATACGGCATTTAGACATTTAATAAGGGTGTATATGAAATTCTCCCTAAAATTAAAGTGATAGTCGAGTTAAAAATGAGAGTTATAGACTAAGAATGCAAATTACCCCAAACCATAGGGAGCATTCGAGTAATTTACCATTAAATTTTTTTTAGCATAATTACCTTTCATAAATGATAGGTACTAACAACATTAAAGGATAAATTTCTAACTATATAAACATTTCAAATCATAAGAAAAACTCGTGCTTTAGAAAAACTTATGAGAGTTGTTGGAACAAGTTTGCATAATCAAACTTAATATTCTATATTGGATGATCGTATCCGAAGATCGAGACATGCTACATATATAAAGGGAACGATCTTGACAAGAGAGGGGTGGATCGTCATTCATCTCTTTGTCATTTGTTTATTTTGTGTCATATACATAGTACACCTAGTTTGTGCTTGGCGAAAAATTTCTATTACTACTAATTTAAATCTTGTGGACAGCACATACTTAGTTAAGGGCGAATCGGAAGAAATGGCATGTGATGCTTTTAACGAGTTTTTAATTTCTAGACTTGGTGTATCCTATCACAATTCTAGTTGAAATTCTAACTTCGAAATTTGTTTGCATAGACCAACTTAAAAATCAATATGCACCTTCAAAAAATTTGTATTTGGTTTTTGGGTAATCGTAACAAGTAATTTCTTTAAATAGACAAATTTTTAGGCAATGACGAAAATTATTCATGTCATCAACAAGCAACAACCATAGTATGTGAGAAGTTTCTTGCAATTAAGTGGTCCTTGTTATCGACAAACAAGTTTTAGAATACAACTCTAACTCCGAAAAATAGTTAGACAATTCCGAATCCATACTCAAGTACCCAACCAAATTGATGCACTCCAAAGATGGGCCAGTTACTGATAGGAGCTTTGTTGCCAAACGGTCTATGTACCCATACTTTAGGTCAACCAAGGCTCCTTGTAGGCACTCAATGGCGAAATCATAAACTTCATTACAAGTATGTCCTACTGACTCTTTAGAGATCCTTGATAAGTCAGTATCCCGAAGCTTTTCCACGAGATCATCAAATATGGGCCTCCCTTGTGTTGCTATTTTTAGGGTTATGGAGATGGCATTGACTGTTGCTGACGTCCAAGTCCTGGCTCCATTGACGATTGAAGTGCACAGTGAATTGTTCTCAGCAGTTCTGCAAAAGGGATTTACAACATTGTCGCTGTTGGTGAGCCTCCGGGTGCCATTACTTAAAGGTAAAACCATGGTTATGGAGATGGCAAAAATGGCTACTGAGAAGAGAGAAATTGTGTCTGCCATTCCTTATAATATTATGTATGAAAGTTTTATGAATTTGATGATGGGTGTAAATAAGCCATAAATTATCTTTAAATTTATTTAATGCGGATTTAACTGACTGTTACGTATTCACTAAATAGTAAATAATCAACATTACGAATTACGATTGACGTCCTTATATATTCCATTTTGTATCCACAAATCTATTTTTTTTAATTATTATTATGGTTATATATATATATATATATATATATATATATATATATATATATATATATAGAGAGAGAGAGAGAGAGAGAGAGAGAGAGAGAGAGAGAGAGAGAGAGAGAGAGAGAGAGAGAGAGAGAGAGAGACGTATGTTCAATGTTCAAATGAGAACATTTTCTAAAATGAGAACATTTTATAATTAGACTAATACAAAAGCCCCCACCCCATTATGACGTCTCTCAGCTTCTTTTAAACTTGTACCACCCACTTAGACCACTGGACCATTACTAGAGTCACGGTCCATTGTCGGAATCGTCGGACCAACGCTTGAATCAGCCAACTGTTTCCTCTCCCTTTTCTCCCCATCTAGCGGTTCCCTCCATCACCACTCGTATTCTCGTCAGGAATAAGCTTTCTCTACCTTTCCTCTTCCTGAAATGTCGCCCTGAACCAACTCCTTGAATCGGTCGTGAAACCACCTTGTCGGCAACCACCTCCCTCTCCTTTCCTCTCTCATCTTGTTTCATCAGCCACCAGATTTGATTTCACCAGATTTGAAACAGAAGGCCACAAAATCAACTCGTCGGAAAACCAAGTCATCGGAAACCGCCCCCTCACTTATCCTCTCCGATCTCATTTCACTGGTCACCTAATTTGTGTGTTGGAATGAAAATGGGATCATCATACACTTATAGTTCACATGGAGGTGGAGTTTTTTGTGTTGCACACCAACTGTTTGATGAAAGTTCTCTTAGAATTTTTTAGTACGTACGGGCTGATTTGAAGATGACAAAAAGCTTTGCAAGGACCTATATAAAAAAGTACTTAAGTTTGGATGAATTACATTTCGCTTGCCAAAGAGTGGCCGGTGGCATCACAAATCTATCTAGGTATCTTTTATTCTTTTTGTTATTCGTTTTGCATCAACTAGACATGAACCAATGCTACTTTCTCTAAAAAAATATTTGGTGATGGATCAATACTAGAAGAAAAAAATATATCAGTTTTTTTTTGTTGGTCCATCTTATAGAAGTTTCTCTAATTGATATGGAGGAGGAACTAATCTACTAAATAGCTTCTGTTCACAAAATAAAGAATGTCTATAAATATGCATGCATTAAGCCCCTTAGGTTAAATTGAATTTCACATCTCAATAGCCTAATAAGTAACCAATAATCATATAACAAGTGATAAACTTTAGGCTTAACCATCAAGTCCTTAATAGAACACCAAAAGTGATTTAAAAGCTATTATGATTAATTTTTCTAAATATATCCTCCAAATTCTAAAATTCGCGCAAGTCAATAAGAACACTTAAAAATCATGAGACTTATTTTTCTGGAAATATTAGTGTGTCTAGTTTCTTTAAAATTTGAATCACATTTCGAAATTCCAACTCCTTAAGGGGTAAAATTGTCAATCTTCTCAGGTTGGTTCATGCTGTCACAGATTACATTCATTGTCTTCAAAAAATCATAATAAACTCATTAGAACTCCAAATGCCAAAATTCTAAATCCTATAGTTAGATATGGATGTATAGTTTCCTACGTATAAATGGACTGACGTAATTCTTAGTAGATTGGTACAGTTTATTCCAAAAGTGTTGAGTGGTCCAGAAAGTGACAGCTTAAAGTTACTAACTTGTCAATTTAATATAAAATCAACCAAAAATAATTAGAACGCGATATTTATATTTATGAAAAGATAAATAGCGGAACTTTACCAATATTATTTTATCAAAAATTAGGAATGGGTTGAAAGGTAAAAAAACAGATCCCAAAAAGAGCACTACAATCAAAGAGAAAATAAGAAAATATATACATAAGTTTGATAAGAGTAATACAACAAAGCGCAAGCTAAATAATGTTATAATTGTTGTGTAGGTTCTTGAAAATGAAAGGATCCATCTTGCTCACGCTAGCTGATTTTCAAGTTCAAAGAGGTGAGTTCCACTAAGTCTCCTATTATGTGTACGTAATCACATATGATTTATGTGGCTAAGATTCATTTTCACATTCTCGATTCAATAATTGTTTTTTACACTTTAATCATATGTGATTAAATACATTTAATTAGATGTGATTATATTTTTCTAATCACATATGATTTTATTTGGAAAAAACAAATCTTGTCTATATAAATCATATGTGATTAGATACATACAATCACATGTGATTATATACACGATAACAAATATTGAACCAAGAACACGAAAACAAATCTTTATCCAAATTAATCATATGTGATTAAATACATCTAATCACATGTGATTATATGAATCTAATCACATATGATTTATTTGGACACAATCCATTTTCGCTTTGTCGATTCAATAGTTTTTTGAAAGAGACTGTCGATTCAATAGTTGTTTTCATGTATTTTAGCACATGTGATTATATGTATAATCGTATGTGATTAAGTACATGAGCACAACTATTGAATCGAGAAGGAAAAAATGAATCTTGTCCACCTCAAATCATATGTGATTATATACATATAATCACATGTGATTAAATACATAAAAACAATTATTCATCGAAACCGCAAAAATAAATATTGTCTACATAACTCATATCTTATTAAATACATATAATCACGTGTGATTATATGTATCCAATCATATATGACTTATGTGGATACGATTCATTATCACATTCTCGATTCAGTAATCGTTCTTTGTCAACTGTAATCATATGTGATTAAATACATATAATCACATGTAATTATATGTATCTAATCACATATGATTTATATGGACAAAAAATTTTGTCCATATAAATCATATGTGATTAGATACATATAATCACATATGATTATATACACGAGAACAACTATTGAATCGAGAACACAAAGATAAATATTGTCCATAATTATCATATGTGATTAAATGCATATAATCACATATGATTATATGTATCTAATCACATAGCATTTATGTGGAAAATATTTATTTTCGCGTTCTTGATTCATTTGTTGTTTTTGTATATTTTAATTACATGAGATTATATGTATCTAATCATATATGATGTATATGGACAATATTCGTTTTCGCATTCTTGTTCAACAATTGTTCTTGTACATTTAGTTACATATGATTTCTGTACACAAGATTCATTTTCGTTTTTTCGATTCAATAGTTTTTCTTTTTCCACATTAATCATATGTGATTAAATACATACAATCACATATGATTAAATACATAAGAAAAAAATATTGAATCAAAAATGCAAAAACCAATATTATCAATATAAATCATATGTGATTTGATACATATAATCACAGGTGATTAAGTATATGAGTACAACTATTGAATTGAGAAAGAAATAATGAATCTTGTCCACATAAATCATATGTTATTAGGTACATATAATAACATGTGATTATATGTATTTAATCACATATGATTTATGTGGACAATGTTAATTTTTGCGTTTTTAATTCAATAGTTGGTCTTGTGTATTTAATCACATACGATTTATGTGAAAAAAAGTTGTTTTCACGTTCTTGTTTAAATAAATCATATGGAATGAAATATATATAATCACATGTAATTATATATACGAGAACAACTATTGAATCAAGAACATTAAAACAAATTTATGTCCACATTAATCAAATGTGATTGAATACTTATAATCACATGTGATTAAATATATGAGAAAAAATATTGAAACGAAAACTCAAAAATGAATATTGTTCATATAAATCATATGTTATTGGATACATGTAATCACATGTGATTATATGTATCTAATCACATATGATTAAAGTTGACAAAAAATAATTATTGAATCGAGAACATGATAATGACATATGTGATTAAATATATCTAATCACATTTAATTAAATATATCTAATCACATGTGATTCTATATATCTAATCACATGATTTATATGGACAAAAAAGAATATTGTCCATATAAATCATATGTGATTAAATACAAATAATCACATGTGATTATATATACATAATCACGGGTGGTGGTGGTGTGTAGTGATGTTTGGTGGTGGTAGGTGGTGGTGGTGGGGTGACATGTGGGGTGGTGATTATAGTGGGTGGCAGGTGGCGGTGGCAAGCGATGGTGATGGGTGGTGGAGACGGGTGAAGGTGATGGCTAGTGGTAATCGGTGGTTGTCGGTGGTCGGTGGTTTTGGTGGGTAGTGGGTGGAGGTGATGGTAGCGGGTGGTGGTGTACAGTGGTGATGGGTGGTGGTGGTGGGGGTAGTGGAGGTGGGTGGTGGTGATAGGTGGTGGTGATGGGTGGTGGGTGGTGGTTGGTGGTAATGGCGGGTGGTGGTGGTCGGTGGTGATGGGTGGTGGTGGTGGTGGGGGGTGGTGGTGATAGGTGGTGGGTGGTGGGTGGTGGTTGGTGGTAATGACAGGTGATTGTCATAATGGTGGGTAGTGGGTGGGTGGTAGATGTGGGTGGGTGGTGGGTGGGATGAATGGGGGCGGTGGTGGTGGCGGGTGGTGGCGGTCGGTGGTGATGGATGGTGCTAGTGGGTAGTGGTGGTAGCGAGTGGTGGTGGTGGGTGGTGGTTATAATGGTGGGTAGTGACTAGGTGGTGGTGATGGGTGGTAGAAGTGGGTGGGTGGTGGTCGTAGAGGGTGGTTGTGATGACGGTGGTTGGTGGGTGGGGGTGATGGTGGTGGGTGGTGGTGGTCTGTGGTGATGGGTAGGTGGTAATGATGGGTGGTGGAGGTGGATAGTGGTGGTGGGTGGTGGTGGCGAGTAGTGGTGATGGTGGTGGGTGGGGTTGGTGGTGGTGGGTGAGGTTGGTGGTGGTGATGGTGGTGGGTGGGGTTGGTGGG